GGGACAAGATTTTGAGTAAAAAGTTGCAGACAGTTGAGCAGAGCTCATCCCAAAGAGAAGAGGGAAGAGCAGACACGAGAGTGTGAATGCAACATTAATATGAACTGAAGAAGGAATCGCAGTCCTCATGACTAAAGTAGGATCTGCGAAAAGAGATGAGGATAAAAGAAATAGAGTGTTTCAAGCTTCAGCTATGAAATTAGAAAGAAATGGTAGCTAGCTTGGCTTGTGGTCGAGTGCTTCCTATGATGGTGTATTTATAGTAGAAATCGAAGTTGACTATGATGTATGTTTGTCATATGAATGCGTAAACATGCATATATTGACTATGTAAATATGTTTAAGAAAACAAGTACTGCGTATTGTTGAATCAGTCAATGATAAGAAAGTTGATGCAAGCAGATCAGAAACTTAATTGGAACTGCAAGCTATGAACATCTCGTGATTTCGACATTATTATGTGACTTCTTCTTATTTGTCGTCTAAGAAAGGTTCCCTTTGACCTTCATTATCTTGTCTCAGTTACAGGGAACTTAGGTATCAAATCTGGGAAAGTTTTTTTTTTTTTTTTTTGAATGCTACTGACTCTATTAAAATGTAGTATCTGTTCATAATTAACTACTTTCTCAACCTACTGAAGCATGAAGAGTCAATAACGCCTCCAAGACTCGAACTCACAACCTCTCATATGGGAGTCCAACCCGAGTGCCAATTTGTCCTTTATCCTTCTTCTTTTGCTAATAATGTCCAAATACTCCGATCAACTTAGAATTTATCTATGTGTTGTTTAAACGTACTAAAAATGTAAAGATATATATTTAATACTCCATATTTTATATATTTTATCTTAAAGAAATAAAAATCAATCCATATTTGCTTACTTTACAGTTAAGGTGTTTGACATGAGGGATTTTACCCTTGCTCCCCAGTTGGTAGACGTTAGGCAGCCATACATGATTAATTAATTTATTTTCATGACAACTTATTGTCAAATGAAATACAAGGGATTTCTCATCTAAATAATTAATATTTGGATCCATATTTCCTAGAAGTAGTTGTTGACAAAGTATAAATATTCATTTGACATATCTAATTCAATAATTCATAATAATTAAATATATGATTACCTCAAAAGCCTACTACTACAATTCTACAAATGAAATTAAAGAAAAGTCTTGAGATGCCAGTTCCACTGCGCTGCTCTCCTTATTGACACCCATATCACAGCTGCCTAAATCTAATTTTATATAATTATAAATATTTGAAGTTAAAAAGTAAATATATTTTTTGACTTCATGCACATGCATCCATTAAAAATAAAGATTACCATCTCTAAGAATATTGTATCTTTATAATATTATTATTTAAAAATACAACCACATCATCATATTTTGCAATTCAGTGTATAATAGGGATCAGGTGCGGGTGGTGCTTCCCGTACAATTGTGCGGGTAGACTCACATTAAGCATTACACTAGCGCACTTTAAGTACACAACACACGCACATTAAACACACAAACAAAATACATTCAGAACACAAACTCACGCACCTTAAGCACAAAAGTCACGCATCTTAAGTCCAACCCTCACGCACCTTAAGCACAAAACTCATGCACCTTAAACACAAAAAACACACACACCTTAAGTTTTAACAACTCACATTAAGTACACACTCACGCACATTAAGTACAAAACTCACGCACCTTAAGCACAAGATTCACGCACCTTAAGCACAAAACTCACGCACATTAAGCACAAAGCTCATGCACTTTAACGGCTCAACAACAACTTACATTAAGTACACACTCGCGTATATTAAGCACAAAACTCACGCACCTTAGGCACAAGACTCACGCACCTTAAGTACAAAACTCACGCACATTAAACATTACACACTCACGCACGTTAAGCACAAATCTCACGTACGCACCTTAAACACAAGACTTACGCACATTAAGTACAAAACTTAAGCACATTAATCACCTGCACAACCGCACGGGAGACACTTACCCGCACTAAAACTTAATTCTATATATATATATATATATATATACTAGTTTTTCATGCGCAATGCGATGCTGTAACAAAAGCACCACATTACAACAGTAAAATGCTGAACTTGACCCTCTATTATCTTATAGAAACATTGCTATATTTTATAAACAATTTTACTCCGATATAATTTTGAAATGATTTCACTGCAACCAATGTACTTTAAACTTTATCTTAAAATAATAAGGATACTTCTTTGCTACCTACTAATTTCTAAATTTCTATTGTCATGTTAAGCATTCATTCAGCCATGCAACATTATTATATCAACATCATTCGCCTCATTTGACAATATAGAAATAGTAGGTGAGAATCAATATAATATAAAGATTTGAAAATAAATTATTATATGAAATTATTTTAAATATGACTCGTATACATAATCTATCACTGACCAAATTAGAAAGTTTCAAACTCATTTACCTAAAGAAATTCTCATCTACTCATTCATCGCATATAAACTTGGTATGATATAGATTGTGTCGGCTTGATGAGTGGCATATGATATGCTAATTGGTAAAATCAAAGTCAACAAGCAAGTGGAGGGTAGGGGTGCTTTAATGTAGGATTTGTAAGGATCCACTAGGGGATTATCCATTTATCCACGACACTCCTGCTCTCAATGAAATTCATATTTCTACGTGATCTTGGCTCTAATAACTAATTATAGAATCAAACACTTACTACTATGACAAAAACTATAGCCTTTAGCGTAAGTGTAACTTTATTTTCTTATACTTGTAAGTAGTTAGCATCTTGGTTTGATGGCAAGACGTTGATAGTTGATTACTTGATTAGTGGGTTTGACTAACTTATAGTATTAACTGGTTGTAGAAAAATGTTTAGTAAATTTAGCCGTTAACTGATAGTTTACAATTACATGCAAAATGACATTTAAGGGTATAATATAATTTATTTTCTCAAAAAAAAATAGTTTTTTTTTAAAAAAAAAATTATTTTATTTTATTTTATTTATTTATTTATTTTTTACATTTTGGAGCAATAAGCTATTACAAAAAGCTAATTAATCAAACACTCATTTTGGTTGTTTAACCAAGTCGAACAAGTAATAGTAATCAAATAAGCCAAAATTGACTGATAAGCTATGTCGTTATCAAACAGGGCCTTTATATACATTCAATTATTATTCTAAAATCTTCACAATTAAATGTTGCTTGTTTAATTTTACCTATCATATTTATTCTTAATTGGTCAAACCAACTCATATTTTTTCAATTATTTTCTTTGACATTTTTGAGTAATTTTTATGTTTAAAATTTTGTATTTAATATAGTACTTTGTTGTAATTTCTAAACATATAAATTTTATATACAAATATAAAACTAAATGTTACAAAAAATTAAATTTTAAAGGGAGAAGTGTCAAATAGGTCCATGTACTATTGTCAAGTGCTCAATTCCCCCCATGAACTAAATTAAAAGGCTAATTAACCACACTTACCTACTAAATGTGTTCAATTAACTTTTTTTTTTGCAGGTAATTGACTTTTTTTTGCAGGTTGTCAATTCAATTATTAAAAAAATAATTTCAAAATAATTTAAAAATTATTATTAAAAAAAAAAAAAGAAAAGAATAGCCACCGGCTGTCCGGCGAGGACAGCCGGTGGCTGTATTCTTTTTTTTTTTTTTTTTAATATTTTATTTTATTTTATTTTATTTATTTTAATAATTAACTAGGTAACTTGTTATTAACCTGTAAAAAAAGCTAGTTGAACAAATTTAACTCGTAAATGGACCTATTTGACACTTAAATTAGTTCGTGGTGGAAATTGAGGGCACTTCGCAATAGTAGATGGGCCTATTTGACACTTGTGCCAATTTTAAATGATTAGAGTCAAAACCTTATGATTAAATTCATCATTGATATGTTCCTTGAGAGAGAAAAGCAATTAGTTTCTAACATTTATTATATATTTAAGGGAAAATGACACTTTTTCCCCCTAAGTTATATACTTATAGCATTTTTTTCAACCTGAATTATTCATGTAAGCACAATAGCCCCCTCAATTATTTTAAAAGTGGCGGTTTTCCTCCCCTGATATATTAAATTGACATTTCTACCCTTAAAATAAACATATTATTTATTTTATTTCTCTAACAAATTATTGTGTATACGTAGGGATGACCACAGTTCGGTTCTAACTAAACCGGACACTATAGAAATCGAATTAAAAGTTTCCGATTATGATTCAGATCCAGAATCCAATATTTGGATTTGAGTTTATTAAAATTATGAATCGAAAAAACTGGATCCTGAACCGGCGGTTCCGGTTTGCGATTTTGAAAAGCAATCGAATTAAAAATTTCCGATTCTAGTTTGCGATTTTATTTGTTGAATGTTACTGGCTCTGTTCATATACTTCCAATAACGCCTCCACTAAGGCTCGAACTCACAATCTTCCAAATGGAAGTCCAACCCGGGTACCATTAGACCACATAGTCTTGGTAATTTTATTTTTATTTTAAAATAGTCTAAATTCAACAATAAATGTATTTTATTTTTTTCAATTCGGAACATGAATCAGCCGTTTTGGTTTGCAATTTTAATAAACTCTAAATATCGGGTTTCGATTTTAAATTGTAATTGGAATATTTCGGTTTGGTTGCTATAATGTCTGTTTGGTTTGAACCAAATTGTAGTCATAATTTGTTGGAGAAGAAAAATAAATAAAATATTTATTTTAAGCGTAAATATGTCCATTTAACATTTCGTGAAAAAAACAACTACTTAAATAATTCAGGGAGCAAAAGTGCTATAAGTATGTAACTCAGGGAGAAAAAAATGTTATTTTTCCTATATTTAAATTTTTGGAATTTTAATTACCGCCGGCCGGCATATTTTAAAATCATATAAGTCAATTATAACCTCGGGTAGTAAATTGTGGATAAGCATTTATGGGAATTAATATGATGTTGACATATAGTGATGGAAGTAAATAATCAAATAAATAAAAAGTATTTCTCAATAACAAACAGAATACAGTTAAACGTAAGAAAAGACAAATTAAGGGAATGCATTTCACACACGTACAATGACACAAATTAAACGTACGTTATCCGATCCCAACTAAGGCTCCTTTTTAACCGTTGAAGATAAATCAACTTTCCACACTCATTATCAAAAAATAAAAAAATAAATAAAAAATAAATAAAAAAATTCCACACTCAACCACGTACGTACTTCACTTCAGTTCAGTTCACCTTCCTACAATTCACACGAATTTGGCCATTTTTCCCAGTCAAAGGCTTAATATTACCCATCTTAATCATAGACTGAGCAAAATCATTAGCAAAAACTCGAATATTTCCACTGTAAGTCTTGACAAGACTATCAGTCTGACCACCATTGAACAATGCTTGATCCGAGTGCAGAAGCCCTTTCTTGGTCACCAAGTTACTGAAATATTTGGTGTCAAAATACGCAGGAGTTGGGTCGAGTGGAGCAAGATTAGAGTCGCCTCCAACACGTGGACATGTAGCTTGGCGTTTTGCTGCGAAGGCTTTATCGATGTTGGTCTCATTATAAATGCGATTTCTGAAGGTTCGGCATTGGGCAAACCCTAGTGTATGGCCACCGGAAAGTGCCACCAGATCTTTAACATCGAGGCCTTGCTTTGAGAAAGAATTTGTGAGAGCAGGCAAGTCCATTAATGGTGAAGGAATGTCATTGTTTGCTGCAGTTTTGCTGGCCGTGGTGGAGTCTCTTCTCCCCAGTTGCACCGCCCATGATGGACCTCCTAACTGTACAACCAAAACAAAAACTATAAGTTGTTTGTATTTTTGTTATAGTCATGAATTTAAATAGCATTGGAAATTGAAATTACCGCAACAACTGAATCACGAGCAGCAACAGCTAAAATATCAGCACAGGAGACTACGGGACGTTTACATGCTTGATCAACTGCTGATTTGATTCGATCAATGACTTCAAACCCTCGCGCAGAATTGGCATTAGCTAGAGCATTCTTTTCGCTGTCAATGGTGGAAGTAGAATCCAATAGAATTGAAGCGTCACAACCCTGCATATATATATATATATATATATATATATATATATATATATATATACGCCAAATAATTATATCCTACTCAAAGTCATTTAATTATATCCTAAGAAGTATGAATAGAGAGTCTTACGTTAACAAAACAATCATGAAAATGCAGACGCAATAAAGAGGCACCCATGCGGCGCTCTTGTTTGACAGCATCGAAGACGATGCGACGAATGGTTGGCAGAGCTTGAGGACACACTTTGTGATAGAAGTATGGAGATAGGGAGTCGGAAAACGCCATTGTGGCAAAAGAGAACAAGAGTATTGCACCGAGGAAGAGGCTACCGGAAGCCATTTGAGGTACTTAATTAGTGATATTTGTGTTGTGTTGTTTGATGGTCTTGATTATGAATACATACACCCATTTATAGGATTAAAAACAGTACGGACGTTTAAGGCAAAGCCATACTCGACAATTTCAACGCGGCGAAGGCTAGCTACCTATTCTGAGTAGAAAATGTTATCCATTGATGAATATCGTTGACATTTTTTTTAGTATAATATATGTCATCTATTACTAGGGAGCAATATTTTTACTATCTGTTGATTATCTGGTTAAATTGCAACAAGATAAAGTTATATTATATCATATATTATAATGTGTTGGCTTGTTGGGCGGGATGGGTAAAGGGTCAAGTCCAGCAATTAGTGGCTAGGAGATTGTTGGGCGGAAGCTGGTGAATGACCAAATTCAGCATCATACTTCTCGAAAATGTGGTGATAGTATATAAGGAAATAAAATTGCGCCTTTTGCTGTGAGTTATAACTTTTGGTTTAGCGGTAATTAAGCACTTGATTCTAACAGAATATATGATCGATCATAATGAAAATGAGTATAAGCCTATACTAAGATAGTAATATAAGATATGATCTTGTATCATATCCACAATAAATTGTAGAATGGTACTTCAAGTTATGACCAAACTTTTTTTTTTTTTTTTGAGCTAGTTTTATGTGGTTAAGTTAGAGTCTCGAATGTGGAGTGGTACTTAAGTTGTGACCAAATTAAATCTCATCTTTTGAGCTAATTTGTTGTATATGGTAGAAGTTAGGATCTTAAATTTATCATTGTCTCATTGGTGCTCTCATTGAGGTCTATCGGTGATGAAAAATGACTACTCAATAATGTTTAATTGATAAGTTCCGGAGTTTCTCTGGGATATTCAATCTCTTGGATATAATTAAGAGTTGCCTTGCATTACAAGAAAGGGTTTTGAACATATCATTGCTAGCTAGCTGGAATTGAAAGGAAATGAAGGAGAAGGGAAAATATATGTTTGACAAGTGGCAGGAATTTAAAAATTACATTAACCTTGAACAAATACTAAGATGCTCTATAGCGCGTATTTAGCAGGCAGTGTTTACACATAAATGTCAATGATAATGACATACTAACTATAAATTTAAATTAAAGAGAGGCCGGGAGCTATAGTACTTAATGATTTGCTTGCTTTGACACGCAAAATATACCCTAAAATAAAGAAGTAGAAAAAGTGTGATGAAGAGTTATTCTATTGTAATTTGGATAGAGGGTCGGTCATAATATGAAGAAAACTTGGTATAGGGCCATCGAATCAAATTGGTTTGGTTATCTTATTGATTTAATAATCACAATGATTCAAATTCAACTTTCAATAGAGTGATTTATTATTGATCTTTATTTTGGTGTTTATGGTATTTATGTTTTTATTTGAATGAAAAGTAACTGAATATAGTATTTGACATTTCAATTGTTAGGGAGAATTAATGAACATTTTAAGTATTTTAAGATAAAAATTTAATACGGAGTATTTAAGTTTTTTTACTTAAATATTGTGAATTATACTAGTTTGATAATTATTTTAAAAAAAAAAATTACTAGTTTGAGTAAAGTTTGACCCGAGATAGGAATTCCTTGAAAAAATTCCTACGGAGACTAAAATGTGGAAAGATTTCCTATTCCAGCGGAGATGGGGACGGGGGACAGGGATTGTGACTGGGACTGGGTGGGGTTTCAAGGACAGGGATGGAGAGTATTCTCCCCATTCTGCAACGATAACGTTCTTAATTTACCCAGTACGCACATTCAGATAGTGGTTGCAGATTTTCTTTGTCATAGAAAAAGAAAAGGAAAAGAAGATTTTTTATTTTATTTTTATATATATATTTGAGAAAATCTATTGATTTATGATTCAAAGGTTATTTGACATTCATATATTTGTATTTCTTGCCTTATTTATTTATTTATTTATTTTAATAGTGAAGGAAACTTGTAGCTATTATGGGAGATAACTCTGTAATATAAGTGGGTGTTGGCAATGATCTTTTTTTTTTTTTTTTTTTTTTTTTTTTTTTTTCTTGTGAAAGAACTTCTTGTTGTTGTTGTTGTTGTTGTTGTTGTTAGGGAGAAGTGTCAAATAAGCCCATCTATTACTGTCAAGTGTTCAATTTCCATCACGAACTAAATTAAAGTCTAATTAACCACACTTACCTACTAAATTTGTTCAATTGACTTTTTTTTTTTTGTAGGTTGCTAACAGATTACCAATTCAATTATTAAAAAATGATTTAAAATAATTTAAATAAATAAAGGGGATTTCAACCACCGGCTCCGGATAGCCGATGGCTGAAATCCTGTTTTTTTTTTTTTTAATTGTTTTTAATAATTGAATTGGTAATATGTTAGCAACCTGTAAAAAAAAAGTTAATTATCTGCAAAAAATGTCAATTGAACAAATTTAGCAGGTAAGTGTGGTTAATTAGATTTTAATTTAGTTCGTGGTGGGAATTGAGCACTTGACAGTAGTAGTAGATGGGCCTATTTGACACTTCTCCCTTATTATTATTGAAAACTAACTGACGATCTATTAATAAACTTCAAAGATCAAATATTGGATACACAAAGGAATAGAAGCAAACCAACAACGAGGATCTGAGAACTAGCTGCCCTAGTTAAGGCATGGGCACACTTATTTGCTAATTTAGGAATAAAGCAAAACGACACGATATCACATTGTAACACCCCACTTTTTCTAAATCGTAATTATAATTCTAATCACAATTAACATAAACTAAGCATCGGATAAACAACTAAATAAGCAAACTAGTGGGAATGTCACCGCCACAACCACCACTCCGTGGTGATTGCACAGGCTAAGGGTAGAACTAGAAATAAAGATAAAATATCTAGCATCCATAAACTTAACTGAAAGTCATAAGGGAAAAAAAGACACCCTGAAGTCTACATCATCAAACGTCATCAACAGCATAAGTTTAAATTCCGATAAATAACATCATAATCAAAACATTAAGAGTTTAGACTTCTATAACTACTAGACTAGTCTAACTCGTTCACTTCTCAGCGTTGGGCCCACCTGAAAGGGGTTTTACAAACAACACAGACAAATAGGAAAACACTTGTTAGCACGAAGCTAAGTATAACCACACTCAACCCTATAAAGTACTATAGAATATACTTTGGAAAACATTTGATAACATTCATAATCAACAATCTCATCTCATAGGCAACTATAGTTACATCACAGACTTTCTATATGCTTGCAACCTATAATATCAATAGGCATGCTTCAATACAAATGACTTAACAACATAAAGATTCCAACACATAAATATCACAACGAACTCATCATAACGATCTTATGCTTACAAGCAATTTCATACTATTAAAGAAAAATAACGGTCTACAATCTTAGCTACATTGATATCATCAAAATCTAATTACATATTTCCTAACAATTTCCCCCTTTTTGATGATGCCAAAACATATACTCTTGCTATAAGGCTGACAAATACCCATAAAGGATTTTTCATTTCAAAATAGCCAAATAGTTGAGTTTACATAAGATTTCTAAACATATTAAGAATGCATGAAATATTAACAAGTAATTTAATTTTGAACACTAGAGAGTTGGACAAAAGAGAAATTTTATATAGATCAGAAACTTACAAAATGGTGAAGGTAGAGACGGAAGATATTTACATATCTAAGAGTTTGTCTTTTTGTAATTGAGCTTCCTTTCGTTCCATGTCGTCTCTCATCTTCTGTTTCTTGAACATGTTCTTCATTTCAATGTCTCTGTTGATTGAATCTCTGAACTTTCGGATAGGATTTGCTCTTGCAAGATCCTCATATTCTCCTACTATGTTGCAGCTCAGAGAGTTGTTGTATGCTTCAAGAATATTTTCTCCAGGAATAATGCCAAGATTCCACCAGGATACTAGCTCAAAAGAGTTCATTCCTTCTGTGTAGTTCTTCCCTGATTCCTTGTGGATTTTAAACACTGCATTGTATTTTACTCCTGATTCGACATTCCTTCCAACCTTCGAAACATCTCTGATCTTTTCTTGCATTCTTTCGTGCTCAAGAAGTTCTTATTCTCTAAGAAGTCTAGCTTCTTCTTGCTTGTTCCAGAGATCTAAGTTTGCTCTTTTTATTTCTTCATTTTTCCTGCTCTGATAGGTTTGTTTTGTAGTGTTGTCTTTCTTCTTCAACCATAGGGGCAGGTTGCACCCTTCAAAACGCTTTCCACTTCCCACTTCATATTCTTTGTAAGTAACGAAGTTTCCTGAGGCATCCATGGTTGTGTTCTTGTCTCGCATTAGTCTTTGACGAAGACTTTTCTTTTCTCTGTTCGTTCTTCCTCGAAATTTATATTCAGCTGAAGAGGTGAAAGATTCCCGAGGTCTGATGGAGTGATGTCTAGACTTAGAGGATGGTGGTTGTTGAGACTTGGATGCTAGTGATTTGGAGGCTGGAGGTGGTGATCTTGCGCTTCTATCTTCTTCGCGTCCTCTTTCGGTTCCATTTCTCGCATCATTTCTTGCTTCGTCCTCATCATCATCATTATCTTTTCTTTTCTTTTCTTCCCCCTTTTTGGCATCATCGCAAAGTGAAGCCGAGGGTCCAAGGAGCCTGTTGACAGAAAGAATGAGATCTTTGACATAATTGAGAATCTGAAGCTGATATTCTGCCATTTTGAACATTTTGTCGCTGGACGTATCAATTTTGGGGAAAGCTAAGTCAACCCTTTCCTTGAGACCGAATTGAGAGTGTTTAAGATTGTGTTGATCTTTAACAATCTTATCAAGGAGATGACTGTGACGATGTAGTTCAGTGGTCTGCTTAGCTTGTAGATTCGCATAAGAAATTTGTGGTCCTTGTTGCATGGAGGATAGAGTCGTCAACACTGATGCCATTTTGGCAGACAAATCAGCCATAATTTGATTGTCATTCTGACGTTGAGCAGAGTATTGCTATTGTAGAAGTCGAACTTCATGAATCGTGGATAAGAGAGTGCGCATTATATCCTCAGGGTTGATGGATTCATCATGAAA